AGGATATACGCTTTGGCCTATCAGTAGTCTCAACTTCTCTAGAACCCAGTCGTAACTGGTCTCTTTCTCGTCCCTGATGAGGGCATACGCAATCAGGAAGTTCTGGTTGCACGGCGTCATCCCAATCATCTCGACGAACGGCATCTTGTACCTGTGCAAATGTAACCAAGAAAAAAAAAATATAAGCACATAAAACTTAACTTAATCAAACACACTATTTAAGATTCATACTAATAAAGTATTTATAAAGTAACATACCTGTTGGTTTTATACGTGGAATCTATACCGACATACCAGTGATATGTCCGGAATAGATTGATCGACGCAGGATGAGCCATGAATATATGCGTCAGCACTTTCGTGTTCGGATCGGATTCTACATAAACTGTATACTGGCTGCTCACGGCCAAATGCATAAGCTGAGTAGGAACGTCCCTACCGTCGGAATCCTCTCTCCGCAGCTTATTTCTATAGTTATATACCTGTCACCGATTAGCGTTAATTATAATGATTATTGTAATTTAAAACAAAAATTTTATTATATTAATAAATAAAAAAGTATATTAATGCGATTAATTTGATAAAAAAATTATTAACTATCACAATAGTAATACATTACTAAATATAATAAAATTTATTAATTATTACAATAACTTTTACATATAAAAAATTACTAATTATCATAATTAACTTAAAAAATTTAATTAAAACATATATTACAAGATATAAATATATATACCTGCCGCACATGAACGTTGTCTCCCGGAATCTTTTCCTTCAGCGCGGCCATAATTTTTTTCGGGGCCACCAGCGTCCGTCATTTCACGAACAATTCTCTTAGATGAAGCGCTGAGACCGCTCAACTGGCTATGACCCTCAGGATACACAGCAAATGCATGGTTATGGTAGCTTTTCTCTTCATTGCTACATCTGCAGATCCTCCAGTATGGAACGCCGGACAACTTTTTTACTTTGATCTCAAATTTGCAACCGCACTTATTCGTTTTTGTCCTTCTAGAATTTCCGCCTGTGCCTCTGTACCGTTCGCCTCTATGGCACTTCAAAACTCTGACCGTTTTCTTTTTGTGGCTCGAAATAATTAATTGGAAACCATTCAGCATTGCCTGGTGTTTTGCAGCTTCAATAGCATCCTGAGCACTACTATAGAATGAAGATGTATCGAAACGCTCACTGTAATCAACACCATCTCCTCCAAAATCTTCCCATGACTCCTGCTATATAGTACAATTTTTAGAACATGTTAAATTAAGATAATTAATTCTAGGATGTAATATAATAATTTGTAACTCGTAACATGATATTATCTAACGCTCAATTAATATAATTTTCTAGGATGTAACATAATAATTTATATAGTACAATTTTTAGATCATGTTAAATTAAGATAATTAATTCTAGGATGTAACATAATAATTTGTAACTCGTAACATGATATTATCTAACGTTCAATTAATATAATTTGTAACTCCTAACACGATCACAATAATATGTAAACGTCAATTTATAACATAATTAAAACTAATATATAATGTAATAATTTCTAACTCGTAACACGATAATATCTAAACGTCCAATTTATATTATAATCAACATGTAACATAATAATTTGTAACTCCTAACACGATAAACGTCCAATTAATAGCATAATGAAGTCTAAAATGTAACATAATAAATTTCTAACATAATAATATAGTCCAATTTATAACATAACTATTTCGAATAAATAACATAACAATTTTTTTTTAAAAAAAAAAAAAAAAAAAAAAAAAAAAAAAAAAAAAAAAAAAAAAAAAAAAAAAAAAAAAAAAAAAAAAAAAAAAAAAAAAAAAAAAAAAAAAAAAAAAAAAAAAAAAAAAAAAAAAAAAAAAAAAAAAAAAAAAAAAAAAAAAAAAAAAAAAAAAAAAAAAAAAAAAAAAAAAAAAAAAAAAAAAAAAAAAAAAAAAAAAAAAAAAAAAAAAAAAAAAAAAAAAAAAAAAAAAAAAAAAAAAAAAAAAAAAAAAAAAAAAAAAAAAAAAAAAAAAAAAAAAAAAAAAAAAAAAAAAAAAAAAAAAAAAAAAAAAAAAAAAAAAAAAAAAAAAAAAAAAAAAAAAAAAAAAAAAAAAAAAAAAAAAAAAAAAAAAAAAAAAAAAAAAAAAAAAAAAAAAAAAAAAAAAAAAAAAAAAAAAAAAAAAAAAAAAAAAAAAAAAAAAAAAAAAAAAAAAAAAAAAAAAAAAAAAAAAAAAAAAAAAAAACCGGCCGGCCGGCCGAACCGGACGGACCGGTTCCGACCGGCCGTCGTTTCCGGACGGCTTTCTTGCCGTCCGGCCGGCCGGTCCGGACAGCAACGGTCCGTCCGGCCGTGCTTTCCGGCCGGTATCACTTGTCGTCCGGCCGGCCGGTCCGGACGGCTTTTAGTCCGTCCGGTTCCGGCGTCCGGACGGCTTTTAGCCCGTCCGGAACCGGCGACCGTACACGTATTTTTTCGTACCTCCGAATTTGACGACATTTCACCGTACACTTTCCTCTGAGATGTTTAGAAAAAATGAGAAGGGCAAAATTGTCCAAGGGAGGCGGTGACTAGTAAAATGGGGGGCGGTGAATAACAACACCCTAAAAAAAAATGAGGGATGTACGAACGATTTTTTTCAACACGTTGGGATTGGGAAAAATTTGATCCTACTCTATGAATATTTACATGTAGATGACGTCATCTTGCATGAGACTAGACACTTTCAAGTGGGTTTGATTTATGGCCCAGTTTCACAGGTTGTGGGTCTCTTTTTGGGGCTTCCACTAGCCCAGCAGTGTTTTTGGCCTGTTTTCTCGTTAGTGGACATGATGGACCACTAGCCTTTCATTGATTTATTTGTGGTTAATTTTATTAGCATTTTGAATCCCATAATTGTTGAAGAAAGTTAAATGTTGACGTGTACTACTGGCATGACATGGAGTTATGTAGTTCCTGGTTGACTATTTCATGCACACTGAATATTTAAATAATTAAAGTAGTTAAAATAACAAAATTATTTAGCCTTTGATACTACATTAGACCCAACCCAGAGTGCTCTGTATTGAATTTAAGCTATTTCAACCAATGTTATATAATAGTTATATCCTTATGAAAAAAATTAAAACTTTAGATTTTTCTTAAAGTAATCTACAAATTTGAACTAGGAATTAAAATGTGTCCTGAAATGAAATTAATTAACTACACCGCATTTGTACCGTGAATACTTCTATCACATTCATATTATTATTTTTTTTAAAAAAAAAAAACTCTATCATGTATCAAATACAATCTGTTATAATTTTCTCCATATTTTATTTCCTAATTTGTGCTTGCATTTAAATGGGAAAGCAAATTTTTGCTGAAATAAAGTGAATTGAATAGGAGTATTGTGTTACCTTTCCTGCCTTTGATACTGGCTTTTATCTGCATAATTGATTCAATTGCACCCAATCAAACGCATTGTTTACAGCAAAAGGCATCGCACAGAGAGTAATGACACAGAAAAAGTATCTACTTACAAGGAACAAATAAAATATTTGGAAATTAGTAATTATTAAATACGGACCATTAAGATTTTTTTTCCTTTTTTTTTGGGCTCTTTTTATGGAAGTTCAATAAATTCCATCCATAGGAGGAAAAACTTAACAATTTTGAAAAAGAATAGAAAAATGATTTTCACCAAAAAAACACAATTTTGGTGTGAACTAAGTTTAATAATTAGGTGAATCCATGTTATTATATGTAATAGAAGATATATATACTCATATAATCAAAATATAACATTTCTGAAGATGATATTTTTTAATTGAAAATATACACATTCCCAAAAAATACATTGGTCAGAACAACCTACTGGCAAGACGTAAAATTATCTAATGGATTTATTAAAAATTCATGAAAATAATTTTATGACCAACCAGAATCTTAAACCTGTAGGGCAGACCCCATGTTTCCATGTACACTTGTAAGAAACATGGCTTGCCACGTAATGCATGGCTTGCACTAATTGACTCATCATATTAACAGAGAATTTGTACTCTCGATTTCTATCTCGGCCAAGGTACGTCTAATTGACCTTTACTTGTGTGTACTTTTTTGTAAGAATTTAGATTTATTTCATTTTATTTTTTCAAAATTTTCCTTCTTTACCGACTGAAAAAGTTTCATGATGTGGTTGAGTGATGAAAAGTTTTTCATGATTACTGTTGCATATGATAAAATCTTGAAATGTGTTATTCTTTCTTGATTTTTTTTCGTGCTTATTTGAATTATAATATAATTCTTATTCCTTCCATGTTGTTTTAATTGTTTTAAAATAGACAAAAATAACTGTGTTTAACTGTCTTTTGGTTAATTTCTGCTAATATGCTGTTGCTAATATTCTGTGCATTCATAATCAAAGCATTGGGGAAAAAGGTTGAATTAAGTGAACATGGCTTGTGCTTTTTGTTTATTGTTTTATTTCTTTTTCTTCCTTAATTGATAGATTTGAAATTAAAGGAATTGAATTACTGGTTGGAGTTCAAATTCATTCAATGAATGTAGATACAGAAGCATATTTGCGGATTTCAAATGACTAAATAATTACTGAAATTCATTTAGTGTGAGGATTTAAACTTGAAATTTAAGAAAAAAATTTCTTGAAATTCACATACCAAACACAAACTACAAAATTCAAATTCCCATTTTAAATCTCTCAATAAATACATCCATGAATCTACCATCTAGAGAGCATAATATTTTGGGCTATTTTTACCAATTGAACTGAAAAACAGTGTTTTTTTTAATTTATATTTCACACAAAGGTTAATTTGCTTATCAAAATGTGAAACCAAAAAATAGAATCACAACTAATTGGCACTTGATTTGAGAATAAAAACTAAAAATTTCAGCTACATTATTTGCTTGATTATTTATTCCTTAAGCAAAATGTTGACATTAACCATTTTTTTTTTCTTTGTAATTGCAAACACTCCCTAGTCTAATTGATCCAAGTTCTATATACTCTCTCTGTGTCAGGTTGATTTTGAATTTGTAAAACTGCAGGAATTTTATGATTCATCTCGAACTTTTATCGGTTATGGGGAATGATTTCATATACCAAGTCCAAACCAGGAAAATCGTATGGCTTATCGGGCTTATTATAGCCTCGATTTTAATCATACAGTCTTTCGAGCTACCATACAGAGACAGATTCCTATCTCTGTTTACTTCAGAAAAGGCTTATTCCAATTCCTCTGTTCATCTCAATAGCAAATTCCCATCAATTCTGAATTCAGGTGAAAAAAATATTTCGAAAACAATTTTCCCTCCCGAAAATGTGTCCGATATTAGTCCGTCTTTAAGTACTTTCGCTCGAGAGAACAAAGTTTCCCCGGGCCCGACAAAAAGCCCGGTAATTTATCGGTTATCGGTTGGGAACATCACTGAAGCTCATAGTCCTTTGCCTCCATTTGTTTCGTCATCTCAGTCATTTGTTCCTAGAAGAAATTCAAATTTAAATATCGGTAACGAAAAACGGGCCTCCACGAAAATCGGGCCTCCGGAGGAAAACCCTGAAAGCCCATTGCCAGCTGTGGTGTCTTTATCCGAGATGAACGACATGTTGGCCCGTAGTTGGAAGTTGCCCGACACAATGGTTTATTTTTTTCTTGATGAACTAAAATTTGTTGTTTTTAGCCGGAAGATTGAAACTTTTGATCAAAATCTTATAATTTGCAGATCAGCCCACAATGGCATTCGGATGCGGATCAAGAATTGGTCGATGCAAGATTCGAAATCGAGCATTCGCCTATTGTTCGGAAGCATCCGAGCCTATACGCACCTATTTATCGAAATCTTTCATCGTTTGTGAGGTAGTGTGACTCTAGCATCATAATTTTAAGTTATGATCATTTGACAACAAAGTTATAATGTAAGCATCTTACATGTATAAATGCAGGGGATATGAAATAATGGAGAAGAAGCTCAAGATTTACATCTACAAGGACGGGAAAAAGCCCGTTTTCCACCAGCCGAGGCTCAAGGGAATATACTCGTCTGAGGGCTGGTTCATGAAGCAGCTAAAGTCGAGCAGCCGGTTTCTAACCAACGACACGAACGTGGCCCACCTCTTTTACCTGCCGTTCAGCTCCCAACTTCTCGTGGACTACGTTTACGTGCGTGATTCCCACACATTTCGCGACATAAACGAGTTTTTGGAGAATTACATCCGCACGATCAAGACAAGGTACCCTTTCTGGAATCGAACGGACGGCGGGGATCATTTTCTAGTCGCGTGCCACGATTGGGTACGTTTTTTTGTGGTCAAAGAATGAATGTTCATATATATATATATATAGTATGTTTGGTAAGTACCATTAACTAGCTTATAAGTTTTCTGCAGACATAGTTAATGTATGTACTAGGTTAGCTTGTAAGTTTTCTGCATACAAATAAGCTTGATTTGGTAGGACGAGACTTTTAAAAAGATCGAGCTCAGAAGCTTCTTTGGGTATGAAAACCCTTTTGAAATTGGAATATTAACTAATTTCACCAAAACTTTTATCATATCAGCAAGCTTTTCAGCTATAATCAGCTATCAGCTAACTTATATATATCAGTGTCTTACCAAACATAATCATAACAAGAATAAAATCGGTCGGTTAATGTGATATCTCGTAACAATATTCTTCTTACAGGCACCGATCGAGACCCGACAACTCATGTCGAACTCCACGCGGGCCCTATGCAACTCGGACGTGAAGGAAGGCTTCCGTTTCGGAAGGGACGTCTCGCTTCCCGAGACGTACATACATTCGCCTCAAAGCCCGATGAGGGATATCGGGGGCCCGCCGCCCTCAAAGCGCAAGATTTTGGCCTTCTTCGCGGGCCAAATGCACGGCCACGTACGCCCGATTCTATTACGACATTGGGAGAACAAAGATCCCGACATGAAGATTTTTGGGTGGATGAGAAAAGGGTACACGTGGCACATGAAGAACAGCAAGTACTGCATTTGTGCAAAGGGATATGAGGTCAACAGCCCGAGGGTAGTCGAGGCCATACTCTACGGTTGCGTGCCGGTTATTGTGTCGGACAATTTTGTCCCTCCGTTTTTCGACGTGTTGAAGTGGGAGTCATTTGCGGTTTTCGTTCCCGAGAGGGATATTCCGAATTTGAAGGGTATAATCGTCTCGATATCGGACGAGAGGTATTTAGTGATGCAAAAGAGGGTGGAGATGGTGAGGCGGCATTTCATGTGGCATAGTAAACCCGTGAAATACGACATTTTTCATACTATACTTTATTCGGTTTGGAATAATAGAGTTTTGAGGACAAAGTGATTAATTAAGTTGGTTGATTATGGTCGAGATATAAATTGTTTTTTTTTTTTTTAATTATTATTGTGGAGATGGAAATTGTTTGATTGTTGAAAATTTGAAATTGGTGAATAAGAATGAATTGAAATGGAATAATAGAATGAAGGGTTACACGGTTTGGGCCTTGTTAATTGGCTGGGTTTTTTGGGAGTAAGCACAGATGCAAATTGAAGTTTGATTTTAATTTTATTATTTTAAAGAATTATACATGTAGGATATTGAAGTTTGAATGTATAATTTAATTTTTATATAGTAAATTATGTTATGCTCACTAATCGATTTCTCAGAGTTGGGAAAAGGACACTTTGAAGCTCTAAGTGTAAGCAAAAAGTTCTTAACGAGAGTAATAATTATGCTACTTCCAAGTTTCTTTTTGTTCTTGTGATAGCTACAACTATATACAATAACTACTAATGAAATTATCAATACAAGCCAAATAGCAAACTACTTTCAAATAAAAATATCTGAATATTGATCCAATTTAAATGATTTGAGCCTGTTTTATTGAATTTGAGAGCACGTTTATAAATCATTGGAAAAAAAATTGTGGCATAAGGAAAACCTGAAAAAAAAATAAAAAAAAAATGATACCGGTACTATCAAATCCTTCTACGAATAGAACTCAATTATTGCAATTATTTATTTATTTCATATCAAGCCATATATATATAATAGCACTAGATTATTCAAGATTTCTTATTCCCTAAAGCAAATTACTTTTTTCACTCTAATTCCTATTTATTTACATTAACTTCATAATCCTAAAGCCCATAAACCCTAATTTTCTACAATAACTCAGTCGTGACCATTGGCCATGGAACTTTTCAATTGGCTCAATTGGCCCACAAAACACCAAAATAAGGAAACCCACCCGTCGGGTCAACCCGCCCGTCGTGACAGCAAGGAGGACCCTCCGGCGGGTCGACCCGCAATGAACGGAGCCGTGGAGGTCCAGAGACCCGGCTCGTCTGAGAAACTGACGACCGTTCAATTCGGGTCCGGATCTGAAGAGATGCTGTACGGTTACTGCCACGTGTCCAAAAAGAACGAGCCCTGCACTTGGAGGATCCTACCCATAGGTGACGAGGACCCGAATCCGGCAAAGGTCCGAATTGACTTTTGATTTGGTTTATGTGCGCGGCTGGAAAATATATTAATTGGCTTACCTTTTTTTCTTGGTTTTATGTTAATTTTCGAATTTGAAATTTAATTTAATTACTAAAGTGCTTTGGTTAGTAAGTTATCATGTCTTGACTCCTGCGTAATTGGCTATTCCAGTAGTATTTTTCATAGTGATTATCTGTGTTTCGATCCGTTACCATATCATTTTTTTTTTTTTTCAGAAAAACGAAATATTTTACTTGACAATTTGATGTTGGTTTTTATGTATTTGATTTTGTTATTGGACTTGATTCTTTGTTAGCAGAACAAGATTGAATGATTGATCTCCACTGGCTAGTTAGTTTGTTTTTGAAAAGTTTATTTGATTAGCTCCTTTTAAAAATAATAATAATAATCCTACATGAAGCTTAAAAGATCGACTTTTAAAGATGATTCAAAAGAAGGCAATATAAAGTAACAATTACAATTTTTGGCATTTATCAAATGTTTTTATTTGGCAAGCCATTTATTAAATAGACTACTAAAATATGGCAATAAAACTAGCTACTCCCTCCATTTTGAAATATAAGGCGTATAAAGATTTCTCAATTTTTTGAAATATAAGGCGCGCTCAAAAATCAAGACAAATTTTTACATTTTTTTCCAAATATACCCTCATTGTGTTGAAATTAAGGAAGTGTGGAGTAGTTGTGATTAGAGTAAATAAGGTTAATTTAGTCAATTTATTCATTAGTTAATGTCTCCTTAATATTTGTGCAATAACCTTAAATGCCTTATATTTCAAAATGGAGGGAGTACTATTCTGCAATCAACTAATAGACAAACAATACCACTATTTTTTGCGACATTAATAAAGCTACATATATATTTTGAAATTAAAATTCCACTCTCTAAATACAAACATAAATTAAGTATGATACTTTATTGCTAAAATATGATCAACAGACACTGTTATACAAGAATTTGTATAAACACCAATAGAATGAGTAAACCCTATTATCATACGTTTAGAGTGTATTATACAAGAATTTGTGTAAACTCTATTGTATATAAATGTTTAGACTGTATTATTATAAAAGAATTTGTGTAAACACTAAGGTAGATGTTTTTCCTACTTTGCGTTGAAGGAGCTTGCTATGATGTACAAATCTTATTTGATCATTTAGAGTATGTTTGGTTCAAAAGAGGGAGAGGGAGAGGAGAGATTTTAATGAAGGGAGATAATGTATGGAAGGTAATGTAAAATAATTTTACCTTGTTTGCAATAATTTTATTGGAGGGGAATTGAGGGAAAATTGTAAACCTTGTTTGGTAAGAAAATAAAAGTGGAGGCAAAATAATGTTAGAATGACAAATATATCCTTAATGATGTTAGAAATAAAAATTAAGATATTATATATAATAAGGGCAAAATAGTAAATATATAATTTAAATTCTCTTCCCTCGAAATTCCCCTATTTTTGGAAGGGAGCAAAAATGGGAAGGGTAGGGAAATCTAACTTAAATTTTCCCTCCCCTCCTATCTTAATTTCCCAACTAGACAAGACAAATATAAAAAAACCCCTCCCCTTCCCTCTCCTCCTTTTTCCCAACCAAACACTAGTTTAATGGTAAGTTCATTTTCCAGTTAAACAAAATAAGTAAACAACAAAGGTGATTTAAAAAATGTGGAAATTTTTATAAATAAACTAAATATGTACTATGGTATCAACTTTTGCGCCAAAAAAATGTTAAAATCCTGAAAAGCTAAAATGAAGGCAACATTATTCAAATATTATTTTTTTATTTTATTACATATTTATATTATTAATAAAAATAATATTTAATTGTATATTTTTCAAATTATCAATTCTAAAAATAATAATTGTTAAACTTTTAAATAATTAAAATTTATATAGTTTCATTTTCTTATTACTGTAATTTTACTATTGTTGTTTATTATTTTTTTATTTATAAGTATCTAAATATAAATTACAAGAAATAATAATAATAATAATATTTTTGTTCACATAATAGTTGGTTCATATATTTATATCAAAAAGTAAAGTTAATTAGGCATTACAATGAAAAGTTACTAAAAAGGTAGACTTTAAATTGAGAATAATCTAAAATGAAGTCTTTTATTGAGAAAAATAAAAATTTAGGCCTTAAATTGATAAAATTACAAAAAGTTGAGCATTGGAATTTTTCAACTGGAAAAGAGCAAAACAGCTCAAGCCATGTTACTTAATATAGCTGATTGTTTTTTTCTTTTCATCAGAGCATCCACAATGCTTTGGGTTCAATTACAAAAAATTGTATGCCACCTAAGAAATAGACCTAGTCTAAAAAAATGTATTTTTCAATGCAAACAAAAGTAGATTGGGTCTTGTTGATGTGACAGCCAGAAAAAGAGATTCGGTCTACCCTTAAGTTTATTTTAGACTCAAGTAGAAACTTAGTCTCTTTGCATTTGAGTGATTTTTATCAATTTTACATAATTTTATCTATGTCATCCAAGACTTGAGTTTATTTACATGTCACATAAATAAGAATAGACCCAATGCATTATAAATGTTCTCGTACACTTGTCAGATAACTTTTTCAGGAAGTATCATTCTAATTTAATTCTAATAAATTTAATGCAACAAAAAATTAAACTATTTGCAAACACAGTAACACACAAACACACTTTTCTCTATAATCTTCTAGCACACACACATAATACCATATTTTTTGTTGTGGGAATCGGACTTAGATACTTTTATAACATTCTGTAAATTATTCCGAAGAAATAAATAGCTTTGCCCCACATGCCATTCGTTCGATAAAGACTGAACACATGATCTGTGTCAGCACACATATTGATTCATTCAGTAAAGAGATGAAGTAAAATTCTTAAGTGTGGAATAGATATTTTAAATAAATTTAGCATGAAAATATACACTTGTGAGTTGTTCCACATTAATTTGATAGGATAAATGAGCTTAGTTTATAAGCCTAAGGGGCTACTCCTCTCATCATCAATTGATTTTGGGATGGAACTTCACTTGGGCTTCATTTCGGTTTCCCTGATTTGGTGCGCTTCGTCCGTAGGACCGCACCCGTCAACCCCCGTTTGTCACATTTTCCTCAACTCGATTGGTTAATATTGAAGTTTGATTTGACTCGTTTAATTAATAAATTCAGCTCGAGTTCATTTAAAATTCGTTTAGTTACGAGCTGAGCTAATTTTTATGTAATATTTTATAGCTCGACTCGTTAAACTTGTTTATCGATTTGTTTCGTCAGGTATTCGAGTTCGGCTCCACTATTTGATTTTTCTTAGGTAAGTGGGCTTTGTATTCCACATCCTTGTTGATGTGCCAAGTGCAGAGTAAGTGGGCTGATTCAGGAAAATGCCTCTGAATAGGAGTGAGTAAATCCAACTCTCTGTCACTAACAACAACATAAGGATATACGTCTTGGCCTATCAGTAGTCTCAACTTCTCTAGAACCCAGTCGTAACTGGCCTCTTTCTCGTCCCTGATGAGTGCATACGCAATTAGGAAGTTCTGGTTGCACGGTGTCATTCAAATCATCTCGACCAACGGTATCTTGTACCTGTGCAAATGAGACCAAGAAGACAAAAAATATAATCAAATAAAAGTTTACTTAATCAAACACACTATTTAAGATTCATACTAATAAAGTATTTATAAAGTAACATACATGTTGGTTTTATACGTGGAATATATGCCGACATACCAGTGATATGTCCGGAATAGATTGATCGACGCAGGATGGGCCATGAATATATGCGTCAACGCTTTCGTGTTCGGATCGGATTCTGCATAAACTGTATACTCGCTGCTCACGGCCAAATGCATAAGCTGGGAAGGAACGTCTCTACCGTCGAAACTCTCTTTCCGCAGCTTATCTCTGAAGTTATATACCTGTCACCGATTAGCGTTAATTATAATGATTATTATAATTTAAAACAAAAAAATTATTATAATAATAAATAAAAAAGTATATTAATGCGATTAATTTGATAAAAAAATTATTAACTATCACAATAATAATACATTAGTAAATATAATAAAATTTATTAATTATTACAATAACTTTTACATATAAAAAATTACTAATTATCATAATTAACTTAAAAAAGTTAATTAAAACATATATTACAAGATATAAATATATATACCTATCGCACATGAACGTTGTCTCCCGGATTCTTTTCCTTCAGAGCGGCAATAATTTTTGTCGGGGCCACCTGAGCGTCCGTCATATCACGAACAATTTTCTTAGATGAAGCGCTGAGGCCGCTCAACTGGCGATGACCCTCAGGATACACAGCAAATGTATGGTTATGGTAGCCCTTCTCTTCATTGCTACATCTACAGATCCTCCAGTATGGAGCGCCGGACACCTTTTTTACGTTGATCTCAAAATTGCAGCCGCACTTATTCATTTTTGTCTTTCTAGAATTTCCGTCTGTGCCTCTGTACCGTTCGCCTCTATGGCACTTCAAAAGCCTGACCGTTTTCTTTTTGTGGCTCGAAAGTATTAATAGGAAACCATTCAGCATTGCCTGGTGTTTTGCAGCTTCAATAGCGTCCTGAGCACTATTAAATAATGTACAGGTATCGAAACGCATATTGTAATCAACACCATCTCCTCCAAAATCTTCCCATGACTCCTGCTATATAGTACAATATTTATATTTTTAGAACATGTTAAATTAAGATAATTAATTCTAGCATGTAACATAATAATTTGTAACTCATAACATGATATTATCTAACGTCCAATTTATAGCATAATGAAGTCTAACATGTAACACAATAATATGTAACTCCTCACACGATCACGATAATATCTAACGTCCAATTTATAATATAATCAACTATAACATGTAACATAATAATTTGTTACTCCTAACACGATATTATCTAACGTCAATTTATAACATAACCAAGACTAACATCTAATATAATAATTTCTAACTCGTAACACGATAATATCTAACGTCCAATTTATACCATAATCAACATGCAACATAATAATTTGTAACTCCTAACACGATAAACGTCCAATTTGTAGCATAATCAAGTCTAAAATGTAACATAATAATTTATAACATAATAATATAGTCCAATTTATAACATAATTATTTTGAATATATAACATAATAATTTAAAAAATAAAAAAAAAATAATTTGTCCGGCCGGCGGAACCGGACGGATCGGTTCCGACCGGCTGGTTCGGGCATATCCCGTCCGACCGGCCGAACTTTTCAGACGACTTTTAACCCGTCCGAAAAGTTCGGTCGGGCGGCTTATAATCCGTCCAGTTCCGGCGGCCGGACATAAAAATTTTCGTACCTTCGAATTTGACGACATTTCACCGTACACTTTCCTCTGAAATGTTTAGAAAAAAATGAAAAAGACAAAATTGTCCAAAAAGAACGGTGAGTAGTAATATTAGGGACGGTAAATAATACCACCCAATAATAATAAACCAAACATCTAGCATATATATTTGGTTAGATTTCCTTTTCCATTTTCAACTAGAAAGACAAAAACATCTTGTCAATAAATGTTAAAAGTATATAAGTTTTGTGCAATAAAATATTTACACTCAAAGATATGGGCCCATTATACACTGCTTCTAAAAACCTTTCACGTTGCCCATAAGCTATCTATATATATCAGACAACGTCACATTTTTAAAAGAACTAGGGAAAATAGGCAATTGATATAGAGTATATATATAGGTATTTTTCTGTGTTCCTCATGATATTAATATGTTAATATAACAAACATTAATACTATATATGTATTGAGTATTGCTGATATAACCCATGGACAAAATTTAATTAATCAGACATAGGATATACTTTTAAAATATACTTATTTAAAATATAAGATATATCATGTTTATTGAAAATATAATGTGTCGATTCTCGCTAGCTAACAGTTGCAGTAATATTAGAAGTAACACTTATTATAATTGATTTTTTACATCAGTTATTATAATTAAGATTTCTTTTATACAATTATACTTTCAGTTAAACATGACAAATAGAGAAAAGAAGGAAGAGAAAGACAAATAGAGACATCATTTATGTGTTTGTATCTACCAAAAGGCTACGTGTCTAAGTATAGTAAAATGCTGGTTTAGAAGAATTAAATCATAGCACAAACCTAACGGGAACATTATGAAATAGACTAGACATCTTTAATTTAATGGGGCAAGCAAAGGTTATGATATATCCAAATTGGTCAAAGATGTGTAAAGTTGTCTAAAGCAGTATATTTTCATGTCGATCAAGAAAAAAAACAATTATTATTATTATTATTATTATGTCAGCGTTCTAAAATTAATTCTATTCTTCTAAAGTTGGTCAAATTTTTGGCTTGTTTTGGTTTTAAAATTTAATCTTATAATATATGTGTGACATCTAACCATTCCTCAAGAGTTTGCATCCATACTTTACTTCAATGCACTGCGTTTGTGAATATAATGATTGTGTAATTAAAAATCCATAAGATCTTAATAGCTTACACGACATAATACAGGGGTTGGTAATGAAGTATTGTATTCTCAAACAATGGTGAAGATCATGTAGATATAGATAAATTGTACAAATATATTGCACAAAATTCAAGAATCTTAATCTTACTCATATTTCACCATACATTACCCCTTTATCCATTAATCTTATGGACACATTTCAATATTGTACTGAAAAATGATAAGAGTGACAAATAAGCAGTGTGTATATTCAAATTTCAACTGATATGTAGCAGATCGACTAGACCAGATAGGCAACCAAATCGATTCGGTCTGGTCATCTGACACTCCAGATGACTCTGATAGCTCTGACAACTGAGGCAGCTCACGCGCTCGCTACTGGAGAGTTTACGCATCCGACTTGGGCCCTGAAGTATCTTCTCTCTATAAAATGGAGTGAGGTATGCCTGAAAAAACATTACATTCTCTATTATATACACACACTATATTATAGAGAGCATTTTTTTTCTGCATTTCATCTTCTACAATTACTCATTTAAGTATCGGGGGTTCTTCACTGATCCCCTCAAGTGTGAGAGTTCTAAAAGTTCGAATACATTCAATCGACAACCAGCTCGAGGTCTAAACGTTTTCAGCTCAATCGACAACCAGCTCGAGGTCTTTTTGATACCATCAACACATCGATGAAACTGGAAATTATTAATGCTAGAAAAGTTAACTTGCCAAAAAAGATTCTGATAGTTTGAAACAAACTGCTGTAGCTTTGCTCTCTACATTAATATTAAACATAAATCCACAAGAAACCAATAAAATCATTCATCAATTATACATAATTGATATTTCAAAATCATCCATCACTAATGAATAAAATCAACCTTACATTATGGCCCTACAGTTTTATCATAATATATTATTATACACTATATATTGTCCAATTATTTCTCTACTACATAACCAAACTAAAGCCTTTCATCTCAAAATCTATCAACACTTTCCCTTTTAGTACATTTTCCCTCATATAGAAACTTCGAAAAAAAAATCCCATCTAATTAGTAAACATAACTATTTCAAGAATCATGCTCAATGGTGAGAAAAACAAATCACCGCCGCTGGCCGGCGCCGCAGCGTGTCCGCCGGAATCCTCCGCCAAGCGGGCAAAGAAAATCCGGGACGCGACCCGCCACCCGGTCTACCGCGGGGTCCGGATGAGGAGCTGGGGAAAGTGGGTGTCGGAGATTCGTGAGCCCCGGAAAAAGTCGCGAATATGGCTCGGCACCTTCCCGACCGCAGAGATGGCGGCGCGTGCCCACGACGTGGCCGCGCTAAGCGTGAAGGGGCCCTCCGCCGCCCTCAACTTCCCGGATCTGGCGGCCGCCCTCCCGCGCCCGGCCTCACTCAGCCCGCGCGATGTGCAGGCGGCGGCAGCCAGGGCGGCGGCGATGGAGGGGATTTCGCCGGCATGTTCGAGTGATTCCGGCGGCGTGGTGACGGAGGCCGCCGGGGACGGCGGCCTGGCGGCGTCGCCGGAGGAGCTGGGGGAGATCGTGGAGCTGCCGAGGCTGTGCGGGTCGCCGGGTTGTTTCGACTCGAGGACGGATTTCGTGTTCGCCGATGACGGCGCGGCGGTGGAGGCGTGGTGGGATCCGCCGCCGCCGCCGCCGCCGCCGTGGGGCGGCAGCGACGAGGGGATTTCTAGCTGTTTCGAAACTTTGTTGTGGAACTATTGATTTCCTATTTTGGTTTTATCTATCTGTAGTATTTTTTATTAGTATATTATAATTGTTTTTGATTTTTTTTTTTATTTATTTGAAGGAAATTCTTTGATCCCCGATTCCCTTCTCAATTTTTTTTTCATAGAAGGGTATAAAGAATTTTCTTTTAATCTTTTGTTTTTTTCTAAATTTGTCCAACCCATGTGCCATCCTTTGTAATGAATATAATTGTAACTGATTACTTCTTAATGTTTACCCATTTGTGAGGTCAAAAATTTCAAATTTAGAAAGTTGAATTATCATTTTTTTGACATTTAGTAGGATAAAGTTCACAATTAGGAGTGTGCATTTCGAGCTTGTATTCGAATATGTTTGATCACTATTCGTATTTGAGCTCGTTGGTGTAATTGTTTATAAAGTTTGTGTTTTTTGCATGTTTAAATAGTTTAATAATTAAACAAACTTTTTAGAATTGTTTGATTCACTTGAACTTAATTCCAACTCGTTCAAGATTGAATATAAAAAAATAATATAATTAAATTAAATTAACGTTCCTGAACATTATAGTAAATTTGCGAACAAACCCTTTGTTCATTAATTCTACTAATAAATGAGGTTAATTTTAATTTCCAATCCGCCTCGATTAACTAACAAAAGAATTCTTGTTGAGCAAAAAAAATTGAACGAATTTTTGTTCGCAAACGTTCGGTTTAATTAACAACTCTTAGTAGTGTCCACATCGATCGATAATATGAAACCCAGGCGATTCTATCATTATCGATTTGCCTCCCTTTGTTCGGACATTCACTAATCATACTAATAATTAGTCTAATCAGCCATCTAATATATATATCTCCCTTGCCACAATAATTAATATTTTATATTTATTCAAGAAAGTATATTAGTGAGTGGATTAACGACCTCATGTGATAAGGACATAAACGAAAAGGATAATTATACTTTTTGTACATAATTTAATAAGTCTCCACTGCATGCAGACTGCATTTAACTTAATTAATCACAAGTGTTTCTTAAATTAATTACAATGCTAGATTTGTCTAATCATTACTATTTCATGCATAGTGTATTTTAATGTTCTGTCAAGTTTCAATCTTGCCATGAGTACCCGAAGCCGTCATTTTCTTCAAATATTATTTACAAATTTGTGAAAAAAAATAGTATATAGATATATGTTTTTGTATAATGACATAATAGATAGTGATTGCTTGATTAATTTGCCTCTAATCATGTACTAAAATAATGAAAGAATATTGTACGAAGAAATGAATACATAATTATTTATAAATGCAAAATTATTTATAAATGTTTTAGGGGATCCTATATATTTCCATCATATTGTACTTCTTTTTCTTTGTTTTTATATTTTAATTTCTTTTCTTTATTTTTCTTTTTAGTTTTATGCGTATTCAATAATTGGTGCAATTATTAAATAAATAAAAATTTTGGACCATCCAACAAAAAGACATGATCTGATATATAGTCCAAATGATTATTGGTTGATATTACCGTATGTTTTATGTAAGCTTCGTAAAATTTCCTTCGTCTGGGCAGTGGCTTAGGCCATCTGATCAACACACTCGTACGGCTTATAAGCCTATACACATATAATGGTTATTATTTTATTTCATTCTTTCTTAATTTATATTTACTCATAAATTGAAAAATAGTTAAATTTTTGTTCTACAATTCTCATAATTTTTGAATTTTGGAATAATCAATCTATTCCTCTTATAGCTATATTATATTGGGTTAACTTTTAGGAAACGTTGGAGACCTACAAGGCTCAAAGCACTCGAGATATGTTTTCAGATACCGCAATACAATAATTACAACCTGTTTTTGCTCAATGGATATAATCATGGCAAAAAAAGTGCAAACATAAAATATACCACTAAGTGCAAAATGTCCCAAAAAATTACATGAAGTTACGTATTTTGACAGAATATTTGTGATATAATTAGTTAGCAATTGTGAAATTGTTGGTAAAATTGCATCTTGTTCTAAATTATTGCGTATAATTTATAATTTTTTATATAAAAATGAACAATATTAGCAGATTTGTTTGGCCCTATAGTCTTTTGCCGTGTTTAAAGGCTTTGTCCGAAAGAAAATCCCACACCTTTTTCAGAGGACTTATTCCTAGTCAATTTTTCAAATGTCTATATTTTCAAAATTCCACTTTTTTGGCCACCATACAAATAATAGACAAGCAAAATAAAGGTATTATTACATCTTTGTTTCAATTTTTTTTTTTTTCAATGTATTGGGGACACTTATTTCATACCTGCAATATTTTGTCTTTTAAATTTTTCCCTCTTTCAAAAGGGAAACAACGTCGGCAAGAACATGGAACAATATCAATACTATCTCTACCAAGTTTGAATTTTTGGTTTTTCTCAACATTTTCCACAAATTAAATATGTGCCAATTCCAAATTCTAATTACTATTATTTATACCACAAACAACAAAAATAAATTAATTTTATGTAGAAACATTTCATTCTCACTATTTATAGTTGACCTTGTTTGGGGCGTAGTTGATTTAGCTACCAGAGAATAACTAATTTCATTAAATAGTTACTAGTACGTACCCGTGTGATGTACGGGAGAGAGATATTAAATGAATTATTTTCACAGGCTCTGTCTGTTTAAATCTGAGAAGGGTTATTATCCATTTTCCACCTATTTTAATCACCGTTAAGTCTCGTTGAAATCTAAAAAGAGTTATCATCTATTTTCCACCTCTTTTAATCACCGTTAAGTCTAAAAAAATAGGGTTATAATCTATTTTTCACATTTTTTAATCAGCGTTGTTTTATTAGTCAGAACATTAAACGTGAGCATGTTAGGGCTAACTTATAAAATAATTAATATATTATCTCACTAACACATTTATACTAAGATAAATTTAATTTTATTATATATATATATTTATTCCTTGATATAAGAGAAAATAACAATTTTACTTATTCTTATTCACCATATAATAGTTAATTATTAAACTCTGTTGCCATATAATGTCATTATTATTTATAAAGTTATACAAGTTGCACGTCTTCTTGTTCTTTTTATTTTATGTAATGAAATATATTTAATGCACGTTGGTATTATTTATATAAGTAATCAATTTAAAATATGTAAATAAATTTAAAATTAAATAGTGTATAAATAATGTACAAAATATACACATATATTTTTTTAGAATTAAATTTTGTATACTAATTAAACAACTTTGATTTAAGAAAAGTCATGAACTCAATCTCTTCTAATATCAATATTTTCTAATTGCATTGCAATGATTATTCTTATTATATATATAGATTAGAATTTTTGCGACACCAACCAAACTAAATATCACAACAACCAAATAACAATTATGAAAAAACCCATAACAACAACTACTAATTAAATTTGGTAATAGAAAATTTACATACATATATATAAAAATATGAGGATTCTATATTTCTATTAACTGATGTATACACCACGTGTATATTTTGTTAAGGTATATTGGAATGTTCAATTTCATAACATGATAACAATCAATCTTAAAAAATCGAAAATCTCATTGAAATGCCATATTTTTCTGTTAAAAAAAAAATCCCATAAAAAATAATTATATCATAGCAAATTAATTCATTGTGTAATTGAACAAATTTCTATAATGAAGCCCGATTTTCTGTACAAAAATAAAGCAATAACTTCCACATTTTAAGGAAATCAATTAATGTTGGTCCGTTTTTGCTAAGAAAATAATAAATTAATAAATTGTAATTAATGAAAAGTAATTAATGATGAGAGAATTTGACCATATCTGTTTTTAAAAATCGTAACAGAAATATAAATATTAAATAAAACTGTATAATATGGAAATAGTAATGATAATAAATGCTGTTGACTTTTCTAGCTACTAAATTTGGTAAATAGGACTCCCTTTAATATAAGCATAGATACAAGCTAATTACAACCTTCTATACCAAAAAACTTCTATGGAATCGTTTCAAAGTTAGCGATTTGATAAAAAAACTATTTAAAGTTGCAACTTACCAAATAATAAATTAAAAATTCCGAGGGATCATTTTTTTAATTTACCTTAAACCCTAGTCTATAGTTACCAAAGTGTGACACTTCCTCAGTCCATTGTTTTACAAAAAAACCAGAAATCTCATGTAATTGTCAAAATCTACTAAATTCCCAAATGTAATAATAAATTAAAAATTAACGATGATTGTGTCCCCTCAATTATCATCCTCTTTACATTTTCTTTAATGTATTCTATTGGTTATATTGTCATTTTTTTGACGATATCACTTTTTGTTGATTGTTAAGTAAATAAGTCCAACATTATTACGGTTTTGCTATGAAACCAACAGTTGGCTTTATAGTGGAGCCAACCTTCTATATACAACAAACAATCTACCATATTAATAAATGTTATTTAAGTAATCCATAGTGGTGCTAATTTCTTAAGTCTCTCTTAAACTATCGTCCAAATGGAGAAACTATGATTAGGCAGATTCTTCAGAAAAACCTTACTTTCTTTAGCAGTCCAAATCAATAATTATCTAGAAAGTGTACGTATGAGTAATTAGAGATATTAAACGGGCTAGCTCTAGCGGATTTCGGGCCTAACGGTCCAGGCCTAAAAAGTCCGGATTTAAACTAGCTACCAATAAAAGGACCTAATCCTAAACCTAGCGGGCTTCGGGCTAAACGGGCTATAATAATAATAATATTAATAATAATAATAATAAATTACAACGCATAGTTAACGGTTTTTTTCAACGGCTATTTAGTATTTACAACTATATATATACAACTACACTTCATATATGAACACACATTACAAACTCTTAAATAACATATTGTTTCTCAATAGAAAAAATAAATGTTCGAATTATTACTTATAACTACTATTTGACTAGTTATTTCGTATGCTTCGGGAATTTTTACAATATAGCATACTGCTGAATTTATATTTTATCACTATATTCTATGTGTTAGGTCTTTGTCTCATTTGTTCTTTATTCGCCGTTCTGATTGACTTAAATATTTTGTATGAAATAGAATAAAATTTGTTAATAATTATCTATCAAAATAATAATAATACATTATAACTCATAATTATATGTGAAGTAAAATAGTAAAATTGTAATATACAAGGAATCATGAGACATATTCCTTACTTTTCTAAAAACATATACACCACCCAACCCATGTTAAACGGGCTAGCTCTAGCGGGCTTCGGGCTAAACGGTCCGGACCTAAAAAGTCCGGATTTAAACGGACTGCCAATAAAAGACCCTAACCCTGTTTTTTTCTGGGTTAAACGGGTCAGCCCGTCGGGTCAAGGACCATTTATTTAACATCTCTATGAGTAATATATTATATAGTATATATACTCCATAATTGGTCACTGATAAGTGCAAAAAAAAAATAATAATAATAATTGGTCACTGATCAAATAATTATTAAATTTCGTAAGATGTGGCTGATTAGGATTTTACTATTTATAGTAGTATAATAACAGCTGCCGACATTAATAATGTATAAATATGTTAATTGTATCATTTGGAAAAATTGACGTGTACTTAATGGTGAATTGAGAGACAACAAAGAAAAAATTTATTTGTTAATTAATTACTTAAGATTTGTTATCCCACTAGCTTTAGTATATTCGTGCTTATAATAAAATGGATTTTATATATGATTTTGTTCTATGAAAATATTGGTCCACTTTTAAGACAAATTGTTATTTATTTAAGTTCAAATACAGTTTAATTTTAATGATCCCTACAACATTCTGTACGAGTCACATTTATGCTACAGAATTGCACATTTAGGTTAAAGAAAAGTAGTCAAAACTGTATGTCTGTGTTTTGACTAGACATAATTAGGGCATTCTACTAATAAACGAACTGACACAGGTTTTGCGAGTGATTTTTATATAAGTTTTTTACGGATTAAATCTGTTCCATTGATATTTACATTGATATTTATTTCATTTTATAAGATGGATAAAATGTGTATTTTATCCTGATGCACCGATGCACCGGTGTGCGTAGGGGAGTTCTACAGCGGGTCGAGGAGGTAAAGAGAGGTAGAAGTCGGCCTAAACTCATTTGGGAAAAGTCGGTTAAGAGAGACCTTAAAGATTGAAATATCTCCAAGGATTTAGCGATGGATAGGAGCGCTTGGAGGCTAGCAATCAACGTGCCAGAACCGTGATTTTTGCTCCTTTCTCTTTTGCTCCAATCTCTTCCTTTTGTTTTGTATCCTTTTTGTGTTTCTCTTACCATTGGTTCTCTTGGGTTTCATCTCTAGCCTATCCCAACTTGCTTGGGACTAAAAGACTTTGTTGTTGTTGTTATTGTTGATAAGATGTGTATTTATAAATATAGCATTACAATGTACACATGTCATTCAATAAGTTAAAAAGAAATTTAGAATTGAAATAGGAAATCTCATTTTGTATTCATACTATTAGTAGTATATAGAGAGTCAACCATAAGTGAATTGATAGCGAAACTTGTAATTTTTCACCTCAAATTATAGACATTTTTTTTTGGGGGGGTTTTGGTTATTGACTATTGTTTTATTCATATCGAAGCACTAGGCATACTCACCTATTATTTGTTAATACAATATCATATCATATATAATAAGTCTTGATGACCTTAAAAAAACAAATTGTAGAGGCTTATAACGTACTTCAAACCCGAGACGAAATGAAAATAAATAAATTAATAAAATATAATAAATTCTATGAAAAAAAAAAACATGATAACGATAGAATTTGAGTCTAGAGCCAGATTAAAATTGGTGTTATAAAACATATGATAATAGCGATTTAAAAATTGCGATTTCAAATTTATTAATAACATATATCATGCCCATTTTAATTTCTATCGATAAATAAACTCGAGACAGCCAAAATTCGTCTCGTAGATGTTCCCCTCATCGAGGTGTAATTTACAATTAAAATATAAAAAAAAAAATGAAATGAAAGAACAAATAATAATTTTTTAGGCGAAAATATCAAAATATCCTAAGCAGCCATGTCGGCATGGTATTAGTATATGGCCTTTGAACGAGTGAGATAGTGACGTGTCCACACGACGGTCCTAATCTGTGACTGTGATGTCGCCACGTCTCATTCTATCTGCCCGTACGGACACATCTTTGTCAATCTCTTTTTTTTTTTTCTTTTCCCTTTTTATTTGGCCTACCCTACTTTTAGTATAGTCCAAGAAAGAAAAAATAAATGAAAAACATAAATAGCAGAGACGGGTCGGGCCATAGGCGGTAGGCCCATAACATTCTCAAATTTTCAACGACACTCGCACGTGCTTTCATTCAATACACGTGCCGGAACACTGTTTTCCTTCTCCAAAATTTTCATTTTCTTTTTCTATTGTCATTTTTATATATGTTCTCTATTTAAAATGTAGGTAAACGAGTCGAGTTCAAATTCTGGATATTGAAGTTCTGTCTCGAATATTTATCGAATCGAGTTGTAAAGTAAACGAACCAATAAAAAAACTCAAACTCATCTCATTTATCAATATTAACAAGTCGAGTCTCTACAAGTTGAGTTATAGAAAATTACATAAAAATTATATTTCCAAATCTTAACTAGCCAAGCTGAGTCAAGATCAGGAGCAAATTATTTTATTTAACAACACTACTAAATAATTGCTATGTCCACCCATATATGTGTTTATGATCCTCCACTGTTTGGTGAAAGTTAAATTATGAATGGTTTTTTTATTTAACAAAATACTTTAAATTCTAGTAAATTACACCCAAGTTTTTAATGCAATACATTTCGCTTTCCCGCCCTTTTTATGTTACTTTTACATATTGATTATATTTATTTTTTATTAATCAATCTTGAAATATACCGTTAAATCACAATTAACAATCAATTTTCAGTTAATTATAGAAGCTAACCGTTACATTTTGTATCAATTTTAAGTATAATCATATTTTCAACTATTATATTATATGACGTGGCTTACTTATCAAGAATTTTATTGTTAAGTTTTTTCTTCAAGATATATATTCTAATAATAATCTTTTTTTAAAAAAAAAATTAGCTAAATATTTTTAATGACATAACCAAAATTCCTTAAAATCACATAGTAATATAGTATAATATCCTATATCAAGTAATAATAATAATAACAACAACAATAATAATAATAAGAATAAGAATTTTCAGTCAATTAGTTTATCACATTCTCTCGAAATTAAAAAACATTTTACTATTTAGCATAATTTTTTCAATAAATATTGATTCATAGGTAAATTATACAATTTATATTTATATTGTCCATTTTTACTAATCGTCAAAATTTTAATGATACTCATTTTCTAACTTGTAACTTTAGATATTACTACTAGTTAGATTTATGAAAATGAATTTCTCATTTTCATAACTTTAATGTTCATGTATTTTTGTGCGAATGATTGTAAAAGCAGATAATAAACCTGTCAGCAAGTCTTCAGCTGGTGCAATATGTCTAATATGAGTCTATTGTCGGGTGAGGTAAAAAAATGTAACTTGTGGACGCACATAAATTCAGGTCCATTGCCAAGGAAAAACACAAAGTAAATGTTTCTGTGTCACAAATTAAATTACATTTTCTATACAAAAACTTTCACATACAAATTGTGTGACATCACTCTTTTATAATACATAAAATGCATGAAATTTTTTTTTTAGTTGAATATGTAAAACATGCATCATCATCATATGTACGATTTGAAGGACCACAATCAATAAAGTTCATTTTTTTTTATTTTTTATTTTTTCATTAAAACCCATCAAAGTTAGTTGCCCGAAAGCTTTCCTTTCATTCAATATTTGACTGAAAAGCTCGTTTCATTTGAAGAGGGACCTATATTTATTTCTTATCCCGTCATTTTTTTCTCATTTTAAACATTTCGAGCAGACTAGATCATATTCGAGCCGAGTACCATATGTTCAAACTCATACTCTTTTATTCACAAACACAACTCAACTCGCATGTTTATAAACATTTAATTAGTTGTTCGAGCTTAAATGTTTTTACGTATATGAACAAATTGAACTCAAATTTTCGTGAGCGGAACCGGTGGCCAACCATTCAATTGGAACAAACATGAAAGTTTAATAATTATACGTTTAAAAAAAATTAGTTCTGAAACAAATATGAAAGATAGGTAGCAGCAAGCTTCCTTATTATTTTAAATGATGTGTTTCTTTTTCACAATTTAGTTTATAGGGCAAAGTTGAAGACAAATTCTGATGGCAATAAGCACAATTACATGGATTTTAACTTTTAATAAGGTACAAAATAAAGTGGAGAATAAATTCGAACTTACTCGTCCAGACGTCCGAAGTTAGTTGCGAGGGCCAACCGGACAGATTTCAGGGCCTCGGGCTGCAATGCCGGGCCAGTGAAGCCCGGCAGCAATTTCGCCAGTGATAAGTCTTGTAATTTGTTCAGCAAGAGATTGGTCTGTGAAACATTAAACAAGGGGCAATCGTGCCAGTCAAGCAATTTCAACTGCAGATGATAAATGAGTCATTTAACACAAAGTTTCAAATATTGTATAATGATAAAAGTAAAAAGTTTTGGAGATAAAATTTGGGAAGTGTAAAGATTGAGGGACTTACTGAGTCATATAAGAGAGGCAACCAAAACTGTTGAGGTGTAGAAGGGTTTCTCATTAGCTGCCAAAAAAAGAAAAGAAAAAATAAATAAATATAAATATATATAATAAAATAAAAATGAAAGGTTGGTAAGATTTAATTTTAGTCATAGTTATTGG